TTTTCTCATCTGCATGCAGAACAATACATCCTCTACTGTCGGGTGTGAATACATATCTGTTTTTCTTAATCCAGTTACCTGAAACAATGATTACTGGATCCATAAGAAATTAGAGAAAGAGAAGAAGGTGAAGAACAGATAGCGGCGTCTGTAACATAAACCCTAATTTCGTTGTTGTAGTTAGTAATGACATGGAAAAAGCTGACATGGATGATGACATGGAAAATCAGTTATTCAGCCACGAACAAACATTTAAGTCAGCCACTTAATACACCGTAAGTCAGTCAAAACGTGAATACTATTTTAGTAATTAACTTTTTGTTAACAATCAGCCATAACAGAGATGAAACGCAAGAAGTCAGATGTATCGTTAAATAAACCAGGCGGCAAATGAATGCTATTCTAGTAATTAATCTTTCGCTAAAAAGTCAGCCGTAAATCAGCTGAGTTTACTGTTACTCCACTTTATGACGGCTGATTAAATATAACTCAGCTGTAAAAACATCTCACAACTCGGCCGGTCGACGATCAATTAACCAGCCGCGATAGTTAACTAAGCCGTATGGCAACTAGAACTCAGTCGGATTTTCCAGGAACCAGCCTAAGGATGTATAAGTCAGTCGTAATATCTGACCGTAACTCAGCCGTTATCACATAAACCAGCCAGATTTTTTTAAGTCAGCCGTAACGATCGACTGAGTTATGTTCATAACTCAGCTTATTTCTCATAAGTCAGCTAGGTTAGTTAAGTCAACCGCTACGCACCTATATATGGGCCGTAACGTAGTTCGTATCCTATTGCGGCTGAGTTTTATGCCGCATTCTTACGTGGACCCGAACTTTTTGCTTACATGGCATAAAAAAGTAATGGCATTCTTGTAAATATGTTTTTTCTCACAACATGAAAAAGGGCACGCTGGGTATTAAAAAAAAAGTAGTAATAAAAAAAAGTTTTGTATGGTTGTGATAATAATTAATAAAATTCATACTAGTTGAGTTAACTTCCCTTTTTTTTTATGTATATAGGAGCAAATTTTCCTTATAATAACTAAGTGTTTAAATGCCATCAACCAACAATATTGTTTTGAGAATTTGGAGTGGTTGGTTATTTGTTTGGTTATTTGGCAAATAAACCCTTGAAACAACATAGTGGAAAATAAAATTCATCAAAAACAAAAACAAAAACAATGGACTGCAAAGGTTAAGCAAATCGTCTTTATCTGAAACAGATCTTAATGGTCAAACAACAAAGACAGCACTAAGTGCCACACACATAACAGGTCATAAGTAAATGCATACAAGTAAAACCCATAAACACCAAGAGTTATATTTTGAGGAACTAGCTTGTTGCTTAGATTGACATTCGTAAAACGCCATTAATCAACCAACAATATTGAGTTTCAATTACATCAGTAAATAGACTTACGATTCAACAAATGGCAATTTCTTAGCACACGCACCGTTGTCCAGACAAAAGCTCTGGCCTTCTTTTTCCTACAGAGAGAGCTGTGTGAAGAGCAGCTCTAACTCCTTCTCTTGCGACAAGGTTCTCTGTCACAACAGGGAAACGAAAATGCTCAAACAGATTTGATAGTTATTATTTTCAGTTCATCCAAATATTGAGATTTTAACTTACTTGGACAGATAAAAGGTCGTTGATTTTGTTGAGAACCTTGAGACGATGAACTGCATAAACACTGTTTGAAGGAAGTTTGCTAACCCTTTCTATCTCTTCCTGAATTACGCTCGATTTTTCTTCACAGCCCATCTGATTCCATCTTCCTCCCACATGATTAGCTCTGCTTCCCATACTTAAGAGCTTTCAAATCGATTACGCTGATCAAGAAGAACTTTAGTTTAAAATTGAATCGGTAACCGGAGCATTCAGAGCTCAAATTAGTTTGTGTTTGGTTGAAACGGAAAAGTTGAAATTTTACATCAAGGTAACGCATTCAGAGCTCACAGTTTCGGATCTTTTCCAGAAAGATTGTGATCTGAGACCGGGCATTAGATTCAGCTTTTTATTTTACTTTTTAAGCCTACGGCTTAGAGCTGGCCAAAAAGAATCGAATACAAAGAACCGAATCAAACCAAACCCTATTTGAAAAATATCTGAACTGAAATTGATAAAATATCTAAATAGATCCAAAATTTTAATAACTGAAAAACTCTGAAATTAAATCGAATCCCAACCGATATATTTTGGAAAACGCCGCAGTTATACACTCCTCGTGTGGATGGTTATTTTATTTTTATAAATAAATATTTAGTATATATATAATAGTATATAATTTTAAAATGTTATATATTTTTCATATCACATTTTTTAAAAAATAAGTTTATATTTTATATAGAGTAATTTTGTTTTTATTTTCCATGATTGCTCATTAATTATCGGTATGAAAATAAATTAAAAGATATTTTAGTTTGGATTTTTATATTTTTATATTTTGTTTCTTTAGAAAGATTACAACTACCATTAGGATACAAAATAACTAAGTTAATATATATGTATATATATATATTAATTTGTGTATCTAATTTAAATTTTATATAATAGATAAATTATTGGCGTTTATATTAAAAGAAACCTCTAGATATAAATTTTATATGTATAAATATATTAATATCCCTATGATAACAATAACATCCGTATAATAGTAATGACAAGTGATTTTTTAAATAACTGTTGCCATGATTTTATATTAAAATGATTTCAGAAAAATATATTAATTAAATAAAGAGATAAAGAATCTTAAAAATAGGTTATTAATTATTTCAATAGTACTAATTAAATAGGATAATTTGTAAATTATCCTATTATGAGTTTGATATTTGAAAACTACCTCTTCTATTTTATTTTTCGAAATCTATGCTTTATTCAATGTGAATTTATTTTTTATCCAAATTAGATAATTCAATAACTAAAATATAATTTAAAATTAATAATAATATAGGAATATTAATATTTAAGATAAATATGTATGTTGAGATAAATATCGTCTTTTACCAATAAAATTTTAAAAATAACAAAGATATTCATAACAAATTATGATTTTTTTTTTATCATGAAGTTTATATAAATTTTATTTTATTTTCTTAATCTTATATAAACAAGTTGAGGTCTTCTCTACAAAAATATTCATTGTTCCTAAAAGTCAAACTCTATATTGTAAGTGATTTATATATGACTTTCGTTTTCTTTACGAACTCTATATTATACACTGCTATCTGTTTGGCTTTTCCAATGACGAACATTGGAATCTTAATATTTAAGATTTTATGGAAACTAAAACGAATGATTTGATTCTGATACTTTACAAATTGTTTCATTTGTGATTCATATTAGTCTCTATTTTATTCGCTATCTGTTTGGCTTTTACAATGACGTAAAATATTTTATGGAAACTAAAACCAATGATTTGATTCTTATACTTTACAAATTGTTTCATTTGTGTCATTTAGGTACACTCCAATACATGATTCAAAAGAAAAATAATGGAAAAGGAAAGGCAGAAGATGAACAAACTCATAGCAACAATTCAAAAAAATAAAAAAATAATAAAGGGTGTTGCTTGCATTGAAATGTTATCGAAAGATTACTTTCAGGTGTATATGACAGAGTTGGAAGAAAGTCTTAACAATTCACAAAGCTTAGTTCTGAAATTTCTAGCTTAAAAGCTAAGTTACATAATCTTGGCAAAAAAATTGAAAATTTACAAAACATAATTCTCCTATTAGAAAACAAAACAGAACTACTGTCAGAATTATTAAAAAAAAAGAAGCAGAATTAGAAACCCAAATTTGATTCATAAATCAACAAACCTGAATCGATAAAACTACAGAGAAGGGAAAAAAATTGCGAGAATGAGAGAATACGAGAGAGAGAAATTAAATATTTATTTGGAAAACATAAACGTCGAACTTGAATAGAAACAGAATTCGTGTATAACAAATACTAGAAGAGACGACGTTGAGTTCTTTAATTAGGGCATTTTTTTTTGACAACTAGTTAGGACATTTCAAACTAATAAAAAATTTAAAGATATTTTATAAAAGATATGGAAAAATATTGTGTAGATTCTCTAACAAATATTTTTAAAAATATATTACGATTTTTCCTTTTTTCTTAAACATTTTTTTAATTATATTAAGAATTGATGAATTATTAATGTTGGGAAATTAGGTAAATTTACATATAAATAAGTATATTTTCAAAAAAACTTAAATAAGGGTATAGTGTTCAAATTATAATCTCATCTCAATGCATTTTCCCAAATTTCCCCTAATTAAATTCTAAAAGAGAAAATATACTTAAATATATAGATTTAATAAATATTTGAGTGATATTCTAGTGTGAGTAAATTTCAAAACTAAGAAATATTTCTATTTTGTAATTTTCTTTTAATAATATAGATATATTAGGGTTGGCCCGCGCTACTCATGGGATGTCTTATATTTGTGCTATGAACATTTGTATTTTGTTTGTTTTATTAGAGAAAGAGTTACGAACATTTGTAATTTTGTTTTGATGATTTTGAAGTTTTAAATATACAGTTGTTTATACATATGATATTAGAGTTTTTTTTTTTATAACATGTGATGCATTTTCAGTGTTAATGGCATGGTTTTGGAAACCGGATTGGACCGGCCGATCGAGCTGGTCCAACTACGACTTGCTGAAAAAATTGAGTCGGGTTCGGTTTAAAATTTGGATTTAAAAAAAAAGGGTAAAATCTGTGACCCGAGTTTAAAACTCGGTTCTAAATGTTAACATATAATTAGTGTGTTTTCAATTGTTATTTAAATTTATCATTTCACAATTAATGTTTGACCACAATTCTTTAATTCTATTTTTTAAGAAAGAATGTAAAAAAAAAAAATTTTGATATTCATATATTATTATTTTATGATATATTCATAAAATCTGAAACTTTAGTTGTAAAAAAAATATGGTAATTTAAACAATCAATAGTTTGGTTCTTATCAATTTCAATTTTACATAGTATTCACTTATTTATTGTATATATAGCTATTTTATGTTTATTATTTATTTTTCTAAAGAGAAAAAATAATATATTACATATATAAATACTTTATGTATATTTAGTTTAAAAATAAAAAAAACCCCGTTCAACCGGTTGAATCATTCTAACCTGTTAACAGTTTCTATACTGAATTGGTGTCCTGTCCAGTTTTCAAAACAGTATCCGGTCCGCTTCATTAAATTTATTTTAGTTGTGTTACTATCAAATCTTGTTGAACTGTTCGAGTTGGCGTTTAGTTTAGGATAGAGTATACACTGGTTTTTGATGTATGGATGTGTATAACATATATGTGTATGTATATATTCATACACGAACACAAGAAAATACATTCATGTCATGATATATAAAGCATGTGTACTTAAAAAAATGTAGGCATGCATGTTTATATCTCTGATTTAAATATAAACGAACTTTTCTTTCTTTTCTGAAATCCTGAACATCTATCCAGTCTAATCAGCTTGCACCCAACATTAACGTTGGTGAATCAGTGGAATAATGATTTGTAATGCCTGAAGTATCCAGAGGGTGGGTAGGAGATGGTTTATCCATTCCGGTCGAAATGACAAACCTTATAATCAATTCGATAGTAAGTTAGTGTTATGTGTCAAGTTATAAAAATTTTGGGTCTGATTTAAATTCTTATGTTTATACAGTAGATTGGAATAACCACAGAGCTCCAACGTAAAAGACCTTGTCCGATAGTTTTTAGGAACATGTGAAAGAAGAACTTGTGTGTTTTTCTCGTTGATTTTGGTTGGATCTATGGCTACAGTTGGTTTGAGCCACTAAAAATAAATGTAAAAGTCTAAACAATCTGTTTGTGAGGCATAAAAGTTTATTTTCTTTCTAAAAATTCCAGATTGTTTATTTGTCATCAGTATACAATATCGCAACTGCTTAGGAACCTCAAAATCATTACATACTCTTAGTCGAAGCACAAACTCAGAAAAAAAGAGAGTAACAATCCAACACATGCTAGCATTGACTGGGATGAGTGATGGAAGCTCTATTATCCAGCAACACGATCAGCTTTCTATCCTACGTCAGTGTTACTGGTGCTTTCATTCCCTCATCAGAAAGATCCCCACAACCTTTCAAAAATGCACACACATTGCTCTCAACTGGGGCTGTTATAGGTAACATAACCGATGAAGAAAAACACCTTTGTAACAGTTATAGACTTCTCCGCTGTCAAGTTTTACTAAGACACTTTGACTCTGAACTTATGTGTTTGACCAATGGTTTCGATTAAAACTTAGGGAGCAGACATGTCTTTGTCAGCACCAATGTTTTCATTAGACTACAATTTATATAAAAAAGAGAGAGTATAAGTAACTCTAGGTCCATATATAATCTGAAGCCAACTAACCTCATAGTAGCTGTCAATTTATTCCATAGTATGCTTTATTGTCAACTCATGACAGGCATCACCAAGTAGCACCAAATGGTTGTTGTTGTTTTCAAAGACAGAGACTTTTGCAAGGTACCTGTGATTAAGAGAAAAAATGTCGATTACAGAAAAGTAATAAGTAATTATTGAGGTTAGTATTTTGCAACACCAGCTACGTTTACGTAGCCATATTTTGGGTACATCAATGAAGAAGGGCTTCTTGTGCCCTCAGTTTTATAATCACTGCAGGAAATATAATATCTAGAGCTTAAATTTTACCTTGACGGATTCTTGCTTGATATAGGCGTAAATTTCCACAATAGTCATTGTATCAACCTTGGTTACCTCCTCCGTAAACACCATCTTAGTAATTTGTCACATAGTCAAGATGAACCCATATTAGTTGAAGAGCAACATAGGTCTACAACCCAAAGTCAACTATACGATGAACAAAACCTATGAAACATTGATCCAGCTGCTGCTTCAAGAGCATACTATTTGGCCTTAGGTATGTATTTAATATAAGAGATCAGCGAGAGA